ACCCATGGTCGAAACGTCGTGTTAATTTTTAAATAAATAAAACATTGCCAGTGTTGGTCGATTATAATCCTTTTTTTTAAATTTTACTTCGTGAAAAAAAGAACGAAAGTAAAACAAAAATCATTACAGCTCATGTCAGAAAATTATTATTCGTGCGCAATAAGTCTCATTGGATATCGTCGGTCTTTGGCACTGATGCCATCCCGTACTGAATTGGCACCTCAGGAACATTGATGTCGTTCGTGCTGAGAGGCGCGTGAAAAGGAACAAAAGTGCAAGAACTGGCATTGTCCAGTCAACGTTATTTGACCATCGACGTCATTCCTACATCCTCGAAGACTAAATGGAGCAGTCTTCAAAGTCTTAAGGAAGAAAGCGATATACAAGTGCCCTTATTAAACGACACGTTTAAGGTATCGTGAAATTTAATTGCAACTGAATTAATTCGTAACTTTTCGATCAACAACATTCCATCTTTCTCAATTCGAGCATACATTGACCATGTAAATCAGCCTTCTGCGCAGAGAGTCGCTTCAATCTCGGAACTCGAGAGTGAATTCGGGAAAGGTCGAAATCAGTATCTATGCGAGAAAATTTAACTAGGCGGATGTCAGCTTTATCCGCATCCAGCGTAGTCAATTTGGCGACTAGCGTCGGTGCATTGGGTGATATACGTCAACAATATCTGGAAAAGCGAAACTCAAAGGACCAGACAAATAAAGAAATTCTGAAAGAGAGAGAGAATGAGAAGGAAAACGCCGAGGAAAACAAGAGGAGTCAAAGTGAGGATTAGTTTTACAATTTAAATTCAACATGTCTTAAAATTTTATAATAGATTAGTATATATGCCTAATAGATTTCATCTTTTCATATTGATATAATTATTTATTAAAACGTATATATAAAATGATTTATTTTGTTTAAGATACAAGAAATTTGTGAAGGAGCTTCTGGACATGTCGCTGGTAAAAGATTGGGCTTTCATGAATTTATGTATTGGCGTTTCTTTGGTGCTCACCGCCGACTATGCCTTCTCCTCTTTTCTGCCTTTAATCATGACCGATGTGGGATACACAAAACGCGAAAGTGCGTTAACTATTACGATTAGTGGAATTGCTGAGCTGGTGTCGAGAGTTTTTCTAGCAGCTTTCACAATGATAGTGGATGTAAAGGCAAAATATCTGTTCTTCGCGGCTATGATTTTGATGGAATTCGCAAGAATAGGTGAGCATCTTCTCACGCGATTAAAATAAATATATAATAAAATTAAATTAGCTTCCGCGAATAATAAATCGATTTTTACGCACTCTTCAGTTTCTAAGATTAAAAATTATATAAAAAATTTACAATTTCTAGGTTTTTTATTATGCGAACATACGCTTATGGGCGCGTTAATTATGACAGCGTTAATCGGTTTCGCTCGTTCGTGGCTGTTGGTTCCACAGAATATAGTCATTATCGAAGATGTTAGCATAGAACAGTTTGCCTCGGCTTACGGTATCTTTGGCATTATTAGTGGTTTAGTTACTATAGTCTGCGGTGCTATCGTAGGTAAGAAGAAAACGGGATAATATTGCCGATATCCATATACTTATAATATTATACGTGTATATATTGTCGCAGGATTTGTTAAGGATTGGACTGATAGCTACGATATGTATCAAATCTCTCTACTAGTATTACATGCATTTATTATATCTTGGGCTCTACAGTTTATCTTCGTGGATCTTAGAAAACATCGAAAGCAACGCGCACAGAAAGTCATTATAAAGTCTATATCCAGGAAAGAATAAAGGATATGTGACAGGTGTTATTACAAATTTTTGATCCAACTCAACGAATGCGTGAGTGAGAAGAAAAAAGCAATTATCAATTAAATTACGTTATCGTGCTTGTTTCTTCTATAATACTGTTAGTTTTATTATTTAGCCCTGTTAATTTTCATCTTTAATGATATATCAGTGTAGATTTTTTCTTATATAAAAAAAATTAGTATTTTAATAATATTTAATTTTTTTGTATATTAAAATATTATATATTTTTAAATATAAATTAGATCTAAATTTTTTGTGTTATAACACTTATTTGTACATATAATAAATAAATTATAATTATGTAATTTCAAATAAATATTATAATATTGTAATATGTATTACATAATATATTCAACAAACTAGTGCATAAATGTCACAGATTCTTTATGAATTCTGTTTCTTTATTATCGCAAATATATTTTTTATCAAATATTAATTTATATGAAAAAAATGTCTGCATTATATAAATATCTTTTTTTTCTTATGAAAAGATTATATCATATAAAAAAAAAAGTATTGTTAAAAAGAGGATCAAACAAAAACTTTTATATAGTACTTTACTTGTAAAATTGTATTAAACAGTTCCATTAATCTTATTGTAAGTTAGTATTAAAAAAATATACAATACATATCATATGTGGATTGTATGTAACATGTTTGTATATTGAAAAAATAACGCGCAAGAGTAAAATGTTTTACGTCATTTATTTATAGATATATATACACACGTACTATTTTAAAATTGTCATAACAAGGTATGAAATAATGTATTTGATTTACGCAGATAAGGGAATGTTAAATGCCGATTCTGGATTACGAGATACAGGCTTGCGTGGCTCAACCTTGATTTTGAATCCATCGTGCCTTTTCAGAATAATGTCGCCTCGTAATATAAAATCTTTATCTGCCACATCAGAAATGATATGGTAATTCCTTAGTATCGTCGATAATAGACTTTCAATTTCAGCATAGCGTATTTTCGCCCCACACAGGATCTATATAAAATATTTTATAGTCAAATGTAAGAATGCGTCCTGCTGATTTTATGATAAAATATATTTTTTTGTTAAATATGCATGCAGTATTCAATAAAATTATTATATAAAGAACTAAATTAAAGTATATAATTTTCTGTGTCGTACACCTTCGTCTATTAAATACCTTGGTCCAGCACTGAAAGGAATGAAGGCATAGTAATGTCTTTGCTGCATTTTTTCCGGTAGGAAATTGTCTGGATTAAAAACTGTCGGATTTGGATAATATTTTTCCAAACGATGCACTGCGAATTGTGGTATCAACACCGTGGCAGTTTTAGGAAGAATATAATTACCTGTAACTATCGTTTGAAAATGCTTCATTATTTTTGTCTTTAAAATTATACACAAACCAATTTTTATAATAAAGAAATGTTTAATTCGCAATATATTATTATTGCATTCAATCAGATATGCTTACTTATTTTTACGTCTTCGTTAAGTTTTCTAGCAATCGCAGGCACCGGTGGAAAAAGTCTCAGAGTTTCCAAAATAACTCTTTCAAGATATTTCATTTCCAAAGTATCTTGGAAAGTGCATTGCCTGTCGCTGTCGCCGAAAATTGCATCTAATTCTTCATGCACGCGAGTCTGTGTATAGTAAAAATCACACTGTTATATATAAAGATCAATAAGAAATCATCAAGTTGAAGGGACAGCAATCGATTTGCGATTAATATCGAAATCAGAGAGCATCGATAATTCTAACAAGAACGAAAGAAAGTGAATGTCACCCAAACTGCAATGATTAAGGTACGGTTAAAATATATAATTTTAACTTAAACAGATTATTCTAATTAATAATTTATTAAAAATGGGAGATGCGGTTAACGGTAAAAAATTGTTTATAAAAATGTGTGCTTCTTGTCATACTACAGAAATTGGTGGAAAACATAAAAGAGGACCTAATTTACATGACATCATAGGCAGAACTTGTGGAAGTATGTGTATAAATGTGTCGTAAGCTTCTTACATATACAATTTGTCAACTCATTAAAAAGAAACTGTATTACATAATAACACTATATAAATATGTATAAAGTAATAATAATTCCATTTATATAAATATGCAATCTTGACGATACTTATTTGTGTAATGAGTAACTATTTTAATTTTTTTAGCTGTTCCAGGATTTAAATTTTCAGAAATCATGAAAAAAAAGTTGTTGTATGGAACGAGAAGACTTTACATGATTATCTCGAATTTCCTAATAAGTTTGTTCCAGAAACGCATAAGACATTCCATGCTATTAAAAAGTCGAAGATCGAAATGATATAATCGCCTTTCTAGCTACTTTAAAATCTAATTAAATCTTTAAAAAATTAGTATGATATCATTATTCGATAAAAACGCAACAAGCAATTAGCATAAAAATACCAGTATCATCGTATAAAATAAGAAACATATATTGTAAAATTATTAGAATACTATAGCACCTTTTTTACATATATGTATTTTCCGTAGAATGTTAATACAAAAATGATTGAAAATACATATATATTAAATATTTTTAATTGTTGATTATTAAACATTATATGCAGGTTGTTATTAAAATTGATGTACGTAGAAAATGATTTATTATATCTGAGAATTTTCTTTTGAAAAAAAGTTACAATATGCATATAAAAGAATATAACACAAAATTGGGTTTTATAATTTTTTGTGAAATAAATATAAAAATAATTAAATATAAAAATTGGTAAAAATTTCTAAAATATTAATATTAAATTGTTGCGAAATTTACCTGAATATCTTGATGATTTCCTAAGACACATAATGCAAAACTCGAGCCGGCGGCCGTGGTATCATGACCCTGTAATACAGATCGATAAATTTGAATAAAACAAATCGATTTTCAAACAATGGATCAAATTAACATAACTCGTGTACAGTAGCGTGACTTGCAATACATGACTATTTTTAACAAAAGATGTGCAAGAAAATTTAATTACAAAATTTATTCTACATATTAGAAGATTAATTATATAATTGAGTTGACTATATTTAAAAAATGCAGCACGTACCTCAAACATGATAGTATTTACTTCCTCTCGAATCTCCTCGTCAGTCATTTGTCCACCATTTCTTTTCAAATCCAACATCATATCTAGGAAGGCAAGTCGTTTCTTTTCACTTACGTCGTTTTCATCGATGTCATCAAGATCATCTCTTACATAATGCAGCTTTGTATATTTAGTAACATTATTTTTATCATTTCCGTCATTTCTGGTTGCATTTAAACTTTCCATAGGCTTGCTGTTTAGCACTTCTTTTTGCTGTTGATTTTTTATACATTTCTCTTCGATTTCCTTAGATTTCTCTTCAATAACACGATTTGTCAGTGTGTGAATAATATTGAGCAATTTCTCTTGCTTCTTCGCAAACTTTGAAAGTTTAAAAATTAAGTCAGAACGTAATGAAAAATTATAATGCCTTCGATGTACAATATCGCTCATTCTGCAACATTTCAATTATTATTACATTGAGTTTTTTCGTTACAAATGTAATAATAATATAGCAATATAATTTTAAGACAAAAACAATATCTACTTCATCACGGCTACGGCATAATCATATCCAGTGCTTTGCCTCTTTTCTCTTTTGATTCCCATCGCAGTTTCAGTTAAAATGTCAACTGTTACACCTGATAGATAATCATGACAGTCGAACTCTTTTCCAACTTCATCGCGAAGTCGTCTCACGAGATCCATGCTATTCTCATAAAACAGAGGTACAAACGTCTTCAAAATACTCGTGTGGAATGTAGGCGCTATCACTTTTCTATGTCTGCGCCATTTATCGCCAGTTGTGATAAGCAAACCATCTCCGAGCCATGGTTGAAAAAATCTATATAAGGAGAAGAAAAATTTGAAGCTGTCGAAATCTCTCCTTTATTTAATGTAATAATACTAAAAATCACTCAGTGTGAAATTATATAACTATATTAATTTTATAAAAACATTATAATATGTAGATTTTTGATTATTTGATTTCTTACTCGTATTCCACGGATTTGTCGATGTGTGCAGGGTTACTTAAAATTATTTCAATATCCTGTGGATCTAACAGAAAGATGACTACTCTTGTTCCCAAATATCCGCCTAATACTAATCCGTATGTATTAAGATATTCCATGGTTTTGGATACTGTGATCTCTGGAGACAGTCTAAAAGTGATTAATGCGTGACCTAATATAGGTACATGTGGTGGACCTGAAGCAAAGGAGCTTAATGTTAAATATTAAGTAAAATATATAACTTGAAAATCGATTCTTATTTTATAACAAAGAAATATTATTACTTATCAAATTAAATTCATTTTTGTTGAATACTTACATGGTAGCTTTTTCACAAAGCAAACTGCTCTAGAACACTCGACGTAATAATACAATGTAATTAACGTTAGGATAAGTATAGCCAGCACACAATAAGCTATATTAGATAAATACAATATTGTCGCGTCCATTGCAATGACAATATTATATTTTATTTTGATATTACTATATTACGATCAACTGTTTTATAATAACGACGATGTTATTCAAGTTTTTTGTATAACGCTATTAATTAATAGAATCACTTTAAAAAATTATAAAAAATTCAATTTTTCTTATTTTTTATCGCCAATCGTGAAAGCGTCAAAGATTTTCACAGTTTGTATAAAATTGGTTTTTATATAAATATTCCAATTTGCTCGCAACAGTCAGTAAAAATAGTTGTTCAAGAATGACACACGATGACAGTTTCGCTATCACTACTGCGACTCACTGTCAGGCAGAGAATTGTCTATCTAACTCTCTTCTCTTAAAAAGCTCATAAAATAGGAAGTTAGCTCATAAAATATGTCGTTGGTTTTGTATGGAAATTTTATCTTGCATTCTTAATGTGTATATAAAATACATTAATTTACCACAAGTATGGCGCCATAACACAAAAGTGGCGTCATAGTGGTGAAAGATAACATCAGAATTGCAATAGACCGGTTACCGCTTTTTTATGGTCATTCTTTAATGATTTGGGTGAATATATCTCAATACTTACATATGTATAGTTTTAATTATCATTTCCTCACCTAAATTGACGTTGGAATTGACGTCAATACAAATTTTGAGGTCATATGTCTCGTTCATTCGTAATTTTCGAATGAGAAATTTATTTATACTATTTATAATGCGTGTTTAAATTATCATCCAGCAATCGAGCTTTGATTTAAATTTAATCGAGCATGCCAATATCTAATTTTATCAACTTTGAAAGCATTAGAACAGTCCATTAAATTTTTGATTTAAACTCTTTTCAGTAGAAATTTAGAAATGTATCAATAAACATGAAAATGTTAACAGGATGTGTTTCAAACAGAAATGGCAATATTCGATTTTAATATTTGATAATTTTTTTCTTTTAAACATATACGTACACGAATGCAAACATTCGCATAAGATAAACGATAAGATGTAGATATTTTTTGAAATATATAATAAATTAAATACAATAAATTATATATACATGTAAATATACGTTTTATACATATACATATATTTACATACCTATATATTTTATAAAATATATTTTAAATATAATAAATATAATTTTTTAAATATATCATTATATCAAAATATTGTGCTGAAAAAATATTATAATCAGAATTATTGTCCTTTAAAAAAAATACCCGCTCCCGAAATGTATATTTGTATAATATATAAAAATATAATTTTCAAACTTATATAGTATAACGCTTACTCGCGTTTGCACGAGAATTAAATTATTTCACCGTTTTCCTGAATTAAATCAAAGATACTGGTTTGCGTGGTTCGATCTTGATCTTGAATCCGTCATGCCTTTTTAGAATAATATCGGCGCGTAAAACGAAATCTTTTTCTGGCACATCAGAAATGACACGATAATTTCTTAGTATCGTCGACAACAGGACTTTCAATTTTAGCATAGCATATTTTCGCCCCACGCAGGACCTTAACAAAATTTTTTAATGTCAAATATGACAACGTGTTGTGTTATTTTCATAAAAAAATTTTTTGCGAAATGTTTGTAATATAATATAAAAAGTGAATTTAAGTATATATATATAATTTTCTGTATCGAAGACTTTCATCTATATTAAATACCTTGGTCCAGCACTGAAAGGAATAAAAGCATAGTAATGTCTTTTTTGCATTTTTTCCGGTAGGAAATTATCTGGATTAAAAACTGTTGGATTCGGATAATATTTGTCCGAACGATGCGCTGCGAATTGTGCTATTATTGCCGTGGCACCTTTTGGAAGAATATAATCACCTGTAACTGTTGTTTCATAAAAATTAACTATTTTAGTCTTTCAAATTCTACATAAGTAAGTTTCTATAATAAATAATAAAAAATTTATAATTATCCATATTATTGTTGTGTATCAGGTATACTTACCTATCTTTACTTCTTCGTTAAGTTTTCTGGCAATGATAGGTACCGGTGGAAAAAGTCTCAGAGTTTCCAAAATAACTCGTTCGAGATATTTCATTTCCAAAGTGTCTTGAAAAGTGCATTGTCTGTCGCTGTCGCCGAAAATTGCATCCAATTCTTCATGCACGCGAGCCTGCATAGTAAAATTTATCAAGTTGAAAGGACAGAAAAAAAGATAGACTTGCGATTAATATTGAAATCAAATATCATCCATAATTTTAACAGAAAGTGAATGTCACACAACTGCAATGACTATATAAGATTTAGTGAAAAAATAAGAGAAAATTGAGTATGAAAAGATAAAGAATTTTAAAGATTTCTTTCCAAAAATACTAAATTGCAAATAAATTTACCTGAATATCTTGATGACATCCTAAGGCGCATAGTGCAAAACTTGAGCCAGCTGCTGTGGTATCATGACCCTGTAATAAATCACTAATTGGTTTTTTAACAATGCATCAAATAATATAAATTACAATAGCATAGCTTACAATACACCGAATTTAAAAAAAAAAAAAGTGAAAGGAAACTTTTTATTATAAAATTTAATACGTCAGTTAGAAAATTCATTATACAATTGAGTTTACTATTGTATATTAAAATGCAATACGTACTTCAAACATGATAGTGTTTACTTCCTCCCAAATCTCCTCGTCAGTCATCTGTCCAACATTTTTCAATTCCATCATCGTATCTAGGAAGGCAAGTCGTTTTTTTTCATTTATATCGTTTTCATCGATATCATCGAGATCATCTCTGACATAATGCAGTTTATATTTAGCATCATTATTTTGGTCATTTCCTTCATTTTTGATCGCGTTTACGCTTTCCACAAGTTTGTTGTTTTCATTTTGCACTTCCTTTTGCTGTTGATTTTTATCTTCTATATCCTTCGATTTTTCTTTAATAACATGATTTATCAGCGTATGAATAATATTGAGCATTTTCTCTTGCTTCCTCGCAAACTTGGTAAGTTTAAAAAGTAACTCAGAACGTAATATAACATTATAATGCCTTCGATGTACAATATCGCTCATTCTACAATATTTGAATTATTATATTGAATTCTTTTTTTATATATAAAAATTCAATAATATAATATTATAATTTTAAGACAAAAAACAATATCTACTTCATCACTGCCATGGCATAATCGTATCCAGTGTTTTTCCTTTTTTCTCTTTTAACTCCCATCGCAGTTTCTGTTAAAATATCAACCGTTACAGCTGATAGATAATCATGACAGTCGAATTCTTTTCCAACTTCATTGCGAAGCCGTCTCACGAGATCTATACTATTCTCATAAAACAGAGGTACAAATGTCTTTAAAATACTCATGTGAAATGTGGGCGCTATTATTTTTCTATGTCTGTGCCACTTATCACCTTTTGTGATAAGCAAACCATCTCCAAGCCATGGTTCGAAGAATCTGTAATAAGGAGAAGAAAGATTTGAAACTATTGATCTCTGCCTCTTAATATTGCTTTACGTAATATTGTACTACGTGAAGTACTTCAAGCATGAAATAATATATAATTTTATAAATATGTCGGCTGTAGGAGCTTAACGCGATGTTATTGCGAAAATTAATTTTTTCACTAATTATCGACGCAAAAGACATTGCGTTAGGCTACTATAAAATTACATGTTGATTTCGAGAGCCGAGTAATATTCTTAATATTATATAATATATTAATTTTATTGCATATAATATATAAAAGCAATATAATAGATGTAGAATTTTTTGATTTTTTTTACTCATATTCCACAGCTTTCTCATTATGCGCAGGATTACTTAAAATTATTTCAATATCTTGTGGATCTGCCAGAAAGACTGCTACTCTATGTCCAATATATACGCCTGCTGCTAATCCATATATATCACGATATTTCAAAGTTGTATTAAACATGTCTTCTGGAGACTTTGCAAGAGGTATTAGTAGGTGGCCTATGATAGGTAAGGATGGTGGACCTTGTGATAAAGAATATTTTAAATCAATATTAGATAAAATAATAATTCACCTAAAAATTTTTATTGAGTAACGAGAAAAGGAAAAATATTATTGCTTTTTAAATTAAGAAGTTTAATTTTTGTAGAATACATACCTGGCATTTTTTTAATGAGACGAACTGCTCTAGAATGCTCAATGAAATAGTACAATGCAATTAACGTTACGGCAAGTGCGGTCAGAAGCCAATAAGTTGTATCGTTAAAATACAATGTTGTCGTACCCATTGTGGTGATAAATTATTTTATTCTACGATATTACTGTGTCTTACGATATCGTATTACAATTTTGTTCTGCGATAACAGTGATATGTTATTTTTCGTATAACGCTATAATAAATAATATACTCACTTTAGGATATTATAAACAAATTTCTTTTATAGTTTTTTAATATAAAATATTTTATTTCTTGTCGGCAATCATGAACGCATCAAAGAGTTTTGCAGCTTGTACAACAGCAGTTTTTATACGTTTAATTTATTTGCAACGATATGTGACAATAGTTGTCGAAGAGTAACACTCGATGACTGTAATAAGATATTACCTTATTTCTGCGATACTATTATCATACATATTTTTTTAACTCATTTCCCGGAAAGCCAACTCAGCAAATTTGTTTCTTTTGTTTTGTATGCTAATACAATTTTGAATTCTTATGCATAAATTGATGTAAATGACATTCATACATTAATAAAATGCAATGTAAAAAAATGTTACCTTAATATAAAGAAATTTATATATATATATATATAAATATATATTCGTATAACTTTCCAAAAGTAATACTTTATTAGAGTCATCGAGTGTTACTCTTCGACAACTATTATCACATATGGTTGCAAATAAAATATTTTATTTCTTATCGGCAATCATGAACGCATCAAATAGTTTTGCAGCTTGTACAACAGCAGTTTTTATACGTTTAATTTATTTGCAACGATATGTGACAATAGTTGTCGAAGAGTAACACTCGATGACTGTAATAAGATATTACCTTATTTCTGCGATACTATTATTATACATATTTTTCTAACTCATTTCTCGGAAAGCCAACTCAGCAAATTTGTTTCTTTTGTTTTGTATGCTAATACAATTTTGAATTCTTATGCATAAATTGATGTAAATGACATTCATACATTAATAAATGCAATGTAAAAAAATGTTATTTTAATATAAAGAAATTTATATATATACGAGGGCAGTCCGATAAGTACTTAGCCTCATCGCCTGATGGTGCCAGTATCGCAAGAGAGTTTTACTATCGTGTAGTACATTCTCGTAGACGGCTACTGTCAAAATCAATTTCAGCCGAATCGGACTCGTAGTTTTGTTTTGACCGCGTGTGGAAGCGGGCGTGTCCGCGGATTTTAGAAAAATGGAAAAAGAGCAATATCGGTCGGTGATTCGATTCTTGTTTTTGGAATGAAAATCGCGCAGCAAAATCAAAGATGTCAAAATGAAAAATCTATATATATATTCAATGATATTAGTGTCTGTTATGTGCCTCGGGAAGTATACAAGGGTCGCGCCGAATTGGATAGAAATCCGGGGCGCCAGGAAAGTCTTTAGGTTTCTTCCAGAATCAATTGGAGTTTTTTTGTTTAATCAAATACATTTTTATTCTTATTCACATGTACTTTGGTTTTTTAATTGCATCTTACTCAAGTTATCACTCTGTTCAAACTCCAGTATTATACTTATAATTCGCGTTTGCGGGTTCAATCGGCTATTACTTGTCGTTCTCACGCGTTAGCGTCGGCATTGATCTTAGTTCGCGATAGGTAAAATCTGGCTGCGATTTATTTAATGACAGCCTTGAGCGCGTCTCTTGCTTATTTTATATTGCCGTGATTTGAAAGGTTTTTTGACCGGAAAGAGTGCCTGGCAACAGATTTTCTCGGTCAAGAATCTAGGTGTAAGCGAAGGAAATCCAAAGTCCTTTTGCTTCGCTTGCACTTTAGGCATTTTCACACGTACAGTGCAGCGTTTCCTTTGTTTTGTGTGCTAATTAAATTTTCCATTTTTAATGTATGCTGTTATATATAGAGATCAATAAGAAATCATCAAGTTTAAGGGACAGCAATCGACTTGCGATTAATATCAAAATCAGAGACCATCGATAATTCTAACAAGAACGAAAGAAAGTGAATGTCACCCAAACTGCAATGATTAAGGTACGGTTAAAATATATAATTCAAACTTAAACAGATTATTCTAATTAATAATTTATTAAAAATGGGAGATGCGGTTAACGATAAAAAATTGTTTATAAAAATGTGTGCTTCTTGTCATACTACAGAAATGGGTGGAAAACATAAAAGAGGACTTAATTTACATGACATTATAGGCAGAACTTGTGGAAGTATGTGTATAAATGTGTCGTAAGTTTCTTATATATACAATTTGTACTGAGTAACTATTTTACTTTTTTTAGCTGTTACAGGATTTAAATTTTTAGAAATCATGAAGGAAAAAGCCGTTGTATGGAACGAGAAGACTTTACATGATTATCTCGAATAAGTTTGTTTCAGAAACGCATAAGACATTTCATGTTATTAAAAAGGTCGAAGATCGAAATGATATGATCGCCTTTCTAGCTACTTTAAAATCTAATTAAATCTTGATAAAATTAGTATGATATCATTATTCGATGAAAATGCAAAAATACCAGTATCATCGTATAAAATAAGAAACATATATTATAAAATTATTAGAATACTATAGCACCTTTTTTACATATATGTATTTTCCGTAGAATGTTAATACAAAAATGATTGAAAATACATATATATTAAATATTTTTAATTGTTGATTATTAAACATTATATGCAGGTTGTTATTAAAATTGATGTACGTAGAAAATTATTTATAATATCTGAGAATTTTCTTTTGAGAAAAAAGTTACAATATGCATATAAAAGAATATAACACAAAATTGGGTTTTATAATTTTTTGTGAAATAAATATAAAATAATTAAATATAAAAATAATTAATTAAAAATATTATAAAATAATTAATAAAAATAATTAAATATAAAATTGAAAAAAAATTTCTAAAATATTAATATTAAATTGTTGCGAAATTTACCTGAATATCCTGATGATTTCCCGAGACACATAATGCAAAACTCGAGCCGGCTGCCGTGGTATCATGATCCTGTGATACAGATTGATAAATTTGAATAAAACAAATCGATTTTCAAACAATGGATCAGATTAACATAACTCGTGTACAGTAGAGTGACTTGCAATACATGAATATTTTTAACAAAAGAAGATGTGCAAGAAAATTTAATTACAAAAATTATTATACATATATTAGAAGATTAATTATATAATTGAGTTGACTATATTTAAAAAATGCAGCACATACCTCAAACATGATAGTATTTACTTCCTCTCGAATCTCCTCGTCAGTCATTTGTCCACTATTTCTTTTCAAATCCAACATCATATCTAAGAAGGCAAGTCGTTTCTTTTCACTTACGTCGTTTTCATCGATGTCATCGAGATCATCCTTACATAATGCAGCTTTGTATATAGTAACATTATTTTTATCATTTCCGTCATTTCTGGTTGCATTTAAACTTTCCATAGGTTTGCTGTTTAGCATTTCTTTTTGCGATTGATTTTTTATATATTTCTCTTCGATTTCCTTAGATTTCTCTTCAATAACACGATTTGTCAGTGTGTGAATAATATTGAGCAATTTCTCTTGCTTCTTCGCAAACTTTGAAAGTTTAAAAATTAAGTCAGAACGTAATGAAAAATTATAATGCCTTCGATGTACAATATCGCTCATTCTGCAACATTTCAATTATTATTACATTGAGTTTTTTCGTTACAAATGTAATAATAATATAGCAATATAATTTTAAGACAAAAACAATATCTACTTCATCACGGCTACGGCATAATCATATCCAGTGCTTTGCCTCTTTTCTCTTTTGATTCCCATCGCAGTTTCAGTTAAAATGTCAACTGTTACACCTGATAGATAATCATGACAGTCGAACTCTTTTCCAACTTCATCGCGAAGTCGTCTCACGAGATCCATGCTATTCTCATAAAACAGAGGTACAAACGTCTTCAAAATACTCGTGTGGAATGTAGGCGCTATCACTTTTCTATGTCTGCGCCATTTATCGCCAGTTGTGATAAGCAAACCATCTCCGAGCCATGGTTGAAAAAATCTATATAAGGAGAAGAAAAATTTGAAGCTGTCGAAATCTCTCCTTTATTTAATGTAATAATACTAAAAATCACTCAGTGTGAAATTATATAACTATATTAATTTTATAAAAACATTATAATATGTAGATTTTTGATTATTTGATTTCTTACTCGTATTCCACGGATTTGTCGATGTGTGCAGGGTTACTTAAAATTATTTCAATATCCTGTGGATCTAACAGAAAGATGACTACTCTTGTTCCCAAATATCCGCCTAATACTAATCCGTATGTATTAAGATATTCCATGGTTTTGGATACTGTGATCTCTGGAGACAGTCTAAAAGTGATTAATGCGTGACCTAATATAGGTACATGTGGTGGACCTGAAGCAAAGGAGCTTAATGTTAAATATTAAGTAAAATATATAACTTGAAAATCGATTCTTATTTTATAACAAAGAAATATTATTACTTATCAAATTAAATTCATTTTTGTTGAATACTTACATGGTAGCTTTTTCACAAAGCAAACTGCTCTAGAACACTCGACGTAATAATACAATGTAATTAACGTTAGGATAAGTATAGCCAGCACACAATAAGCTATATTAGATAAATACAATATTGTCGCGTCCATTGCAATGACAATATTATATTTTATTTTGATATTACTATATTACGATCAACTGTTTTATAATAACGACGATGTTATTCAAGTTTTTTGTATAACGCTATTAATTAATAGAATCACTTTAAAAAATTATAAAAAATTCAATTTTTTCTTATTTTTTATCGCCAATCGTGAAAGCGTCAAAGATTTTCACAGTTTGTATAAAATTGGTTTTTATATAAATATTCCAATTTGCTCGCAACAGTCAGTAAAAATAGTTGTTCAAGAATGACACACGATGACAGTTTCGCTATCACTACTGCGACTCACTGTCAGGCAGAGAATTGTCTATCTAACTCTCTTCTCTTAAAAAGCTCATAAAATAGGAAGTTAGCTCATAAAATATGTCGTTGGTTTTGTATGGAAATTTTATCTTGCATTCTTAATGTGTATATAAAATACATTAATTTACCACAAGTATGGCGCCATAACACAAAAGTGGCGTCATAGTGGTGAAAGATATCATCAGAATTGCAATAGACCGGTTACCGCTTTTTTATGGTCATTCTTTAATGATTTGGGTGAATATATCTCAATACTTACATATGTATAGTTTTAATTATCATTTCCTCACCTAAATTGACGTTGGAATTGACGTCAATACAAATTTTGAGGTCATATGTCTCGTTCATTCGTAATTTTCGAATGAGAAATTTATTTATACTATTTATAATGCGTGTTTAAATTATCATCCAGCAATCGAGCTTTGATTTAAATTTAATCGAGCATGCCAATATCTAATTTTATCAACTTTGAAAGCATTAGAGCAGTCCATTAAATTTTTGATTTAAACTCTTTTCAGTAGAAATTTAGAAATGTACCAATAAACATGAAAATGTTAACAGGATGTGTTTCAAACAGAAATGGCAATATTCGATTTTAATATTTGATAATTTTTTTCTTTTAAACATATACGTACACGAATGCAAACATTCGCATAAGATAAACGATAAGATGTAGATATTTTTTGAAATATATAATAAATTAAATACAATAAATTATATATACATGTAAATATACGTTTTATACATATACATATATTTACATACCTATATATTTTATAAAATATATTTTAAATATAATAAATATAATTTTTTAAATATATCATTATATCAAAATATTGTGCTGAAAAAATATTATAATCAGAATTATTGTCCTTTAAAAAAAATACCCGCTCCCGAAATGTATATTTGTATAATATATAAAAAATATAATTTTCAAACTTATATAGTATAACGCTTACTCGCGTTTGCACGAGAATTAAATTATTTCACCGTTTTCCTGAATTAAATCAAAGATACTGGTTTGCGTGGTTCGATCTTGATCTTGAATCCGTCATGCCTTTTTAGAATAATATCGGCGCGTAAAACGAAATCTTTTTCTGGCACATCAGAAATGACACGATAATTTCTTAGTATCGTCGACAACAGGACTTTCAATTTTAGCATAGCATATTTTCGCCCCACGCAGGACCTTAACAAAATTTTTAATGTCAAATATGACAACGTGTTGTGTTATTTTCATAAAAAAATTTTTTGCGAAATGTTTGTAATATAATATAAAAAGTGAATTTAAGTATATATATATAATTTTCTGTATCGAAGACTTTCATCTATATTAAATACCTTGGTCCAGCACTGAAAGGAATAAAAGCATAGTAATGTCTTTTTTGCATTTTTTCCGGTAGGAAATTATCTGGATTAAAAACTGTTGGATTCGGATAATATTTGTCCGAACGATGCGCTGCGAATTGTGCTATTATTGCCGTGGCACCTTTTGGAAGAATATAATCACCTGTAACTGTTGTTTCATAAAAATTAACTATTTTAGTCTTTCAAATTCTACATAAGTAAGTTTCTATAATAAATAATAAAAAAATTTATAATTATCCATATTATTGTTGTGTATCAGGTATACTTACCTATCTTTACTTCTTCGTTAAGTTTTCTGGCAATGATAGGTACCGGTGGAAAAAGTCTCAGAGTTTCCAAAATAACTCGTTCGAGATATTTCATTTCCAAAGTGTCTTGAAAAGTGCATTGTCTGTCGCTGTCGCCGAAAATTGCATCCAATTCTTCATGCACGCGAGCCTGCATAGTAAAATTTATCAAGTTGAAAGGACAGAAAAAAAGATAGACTTGCGATTAATATTGAAATCAAATATCATCCATAATTTTAACAGAAAGTGAATGTCACACAACTGCAATGACTATATAAGATTTAGTGAAAAAATAAGAGAAAATTGAGTATGAAAAGATAAAGAATTTTAAAGATTTCTTTCCAAAAATACTAAATTGCAAATAAATTTACCTGAATATCTTGATGACATCCTAAGGCGCATAGTGCAAAACTTGAGCCAGCTGCTGTGGTATCATGACCCTGTAATAAATCACTAATTGGTTTTTTAACAATGCATCAAATAATATAAATTACAATAGCATAGCTTACAATACACCGAATTTAAAAAAAAAAAAAGTGAAAGGAAACTTTTTATTATAAAATTTAATACGTCAGTTAGAAAATTCATTATACAATTGAGTTTACTATTGTATATTAAAATGCAATACGTACTTCAAACATGATAGTGTTTACTTCCTCCCAAATCTCCTCGTCAGTCATCTGTCCAACATTTTTCAATTCCATCATCGTATCTAGGAAGGCAAGTCGTTTTTTTTCATTTATATCGTTTTCATCGATATCATCGAGATCATCTCTGACATAATGCAGTTTATATTTAGCATCATTATTTTGGTCATTTCCTTCATTTTTGATCGCGTTTACGCTTTCCACAAGTTTGTTGTTTTCATTTTGCACTTCCTTTTGCTGTTGATTTTTATCTTCTATATCCTTCGATTTTTCTTTAATAACATGATTTATCAGCGTATGAATAATATTGAGCATTTTCTCTTGCTTCCTCGCAAACTTGGTAAGTTTAAAAAGTAACTCAGAACGTAATATAACATTATAATGCCTTCGATGTACAATATCGCTCATTCTACAATATTTGAATTATTATATTGAATTCTTTTTTTATATATAAAAATTCAATAATATAATATTATAATTTTAAGACAAAAAACAATATCTACTTCATCACTGCCATGGCATAATCGTATCCAGTGTTTTTCCTTTTTTCTCTTTTAACTCCCATCGCAGTTTCTGTTAAAATATCAACCGTTACAGCTGATAGATAATCATGACAGTCGAATTCTTTTCCAACTTCATTGCGAAGCCGTCTCACGAGATCTATACTATTCTCATAAAACAGAGGTACAAATGTCTTTAAAATACTCATGTGAAATGTGGGCGCTATTATTTTTCTATGTCTGTGCCACTTATCACCTTTTGTGATAAGCAAACCATCTCCAAGCCATGGTTCGAAGAATCTGTAATAAGGAGAAGAAAGATTTGAAACTATTGATCTCTGCCTCTTAATATTGCTTTACGTAATATTGTACTACGTGAAGTACTTCAAGCATGAAATAATATATAATTTTATAAATATGTCGGCTGTAGGAGCTTAACGCGATGTTATTGCGAAAATTAATTTTTTCACTAATTATCGACGCAAAAGACATTGCGTTAGGCTACTATAAAATTACATGTTGATTTCGAGAGCCGAGTAATATTCTTAATATTATATAATATATTAATTTTATTGCATATAATATATAAAAGCAATATAATAGATGTAGAATTTTTTGATTTTTTTTACTCATATTCCACAGCTTTCTCATTATGCGCAGGATTACTTAAAATTATTTCAATATCTTGTGGATCTGCCAGAAAGACTGCTACTCTATGTCCAATATATACGCCTGCTGCTAATCCATATATATCACGATATTTCAAAGTTGTATTAAACATGTCTTCTGGAGACTTTGCAAGAGGTATTAGTAGGTGGCCTATGATAGGTAAGGATGGTGGACCTTGTGATAAAGAATATTTTAAATCAATATTAGATAAAATAATAATTCACCTAAAAATTTTTATTGAGTAACGAGAAAAGGAAAAATATTATTGCTTTTTAAATTAAGAAGTTTAATTTTTGTAGAATACATACCTGGCATTTTTTTAATGAGACGAACTGCTCTAGAATGCTCAATGAAATAGTACAATGCAATTAACGTTACGGCAAGTGCGGTCAGAAGCCAATAAGTTGTATCGTTAAAATACAATGTTGTCGTACCCATTGTGGTGATAAATTATTTTATTCTACGATATTACTGTGTCTTACGATATCGTATTACAATTTTGTTCTGCGATAACAGTGATATGTTATTTTTCGTATAACGCTATAATAAATAATATACTCACTTTAGGATATTATAAACAAATTTCTTTTATAGTTTTTTAATATAAAATATTTTATTTCTTGTCGGCAATCATGAACGCATCAAAGAGTTTTGCAGCTTGTACAACAGCAGTTTTTATACGTTTAATTTATTTGCAACGATATGTGACAATAGTTGTCGAAGAGTAACACTCGATGACTGTAATAAGATATTACCTTATTTCTGCGATACTATTATCATACATATTTTTTTAACTCATTTCCCGGAAAGCCAACTCAGCAAATTTGTTTCTTTTGTTTTGTATGCTAATACAATTTTGAATTCTTATGCATAAATTGATGTAAATGACATTCATACATTAATAAAATGCAATGTAAAAAAAATGTTACCTTAATATAAAGAAATTTATATATATATATATATAAATATATATTCGTATAACTTTCCAAAAGTAATACTTTATTAGAGTCATCGAGTGTTACTCTTCGACAACTATTATCACATATGGTTGCAAATAAAATATTTTATTTCTTATCGGCAATCATGAACGCATCAAATAGTTTTGCAGCTTGTACAACAGCAGTTTTTATACGTTTAATTTATTTGCAACGATATGTGACAATAGTTGTCGAAGAGTAACACTCGATGACTGTAATAAGATATTACCTTATTTCTGCGATACTATTATTATACATATTTTTCTAACTCATTTCTCGGAAAGCCAACTCAGCAAATTTGTTTCTTTTGTTTTGTATGCTAATACAATTTTGAATTCTTATGCATAAATTGATGTAAATGACATTCATACATTAATAAAATGCAATGTAAAAAAATGTTATTTTAATATAAAGAAATTTATATATATACGAGGGCAGTCCGATAAGTACTTAGCCTCATCGCCTGATGGTGCCAGTATCGCAAGAGAGTTTTACTATCGTGTAGTACATTCTCGTAGACGGCTACTGTCAAAATCAATTTCAGCCGAATCGGACTCGTAGTTTTGTTTTGACCGCGTGTGGAAGCGGGCGTGTCCGCGGATTTTAGAAAAATGGAAAAAGAGCAATATCGGTCGGTGATTCGATTCTTGTTTTTGGAAGGAAAATCGCGCAGCAAAATCAAAGATGTCAAAATGAAAAATCTATATATATATTCAATGATATTAGTGTCTGTTATGTGCCTCGGGAAGTATACAAGGGTCGCGCCGAATTGGATAGAAATCCGGGGCGCCAGGAAAGTCTTTAGGTTTCTTCCAGAATCAATTGGAGTTTTTTTGTTTAATCAAATACATTTTTATTCTTATTCACATGTACTTTGGTTTTTTAATTGCATCTTACTCAAGTTATCACTCTGTTCAAACTCCAGTATTATACTTATAATTCGCGTTTGCGGGTTCAATCGGCTATTACTTGTCGTTCTCACGCGTTAGCGTCGGCATTGATCTTAGTTCGCGATAGGTAAAATCTGGCTGCGATTTATTTAATGACAGCCTTGAGCGCGTCTCTTGCTTATTTTATATTGCCGTGATTTGAAAGGTTTTTTGACCGGAAAGAGTGCCTGGCAACAGGTTTTCTCGGTCAAGAATCTAGGTGTAAGCGAAGGAAATCCAAAGTCCTTTTGCTTCGCTTGCACTTTAGGCATTTTCACACGTACAGTGCAGCGTTTCCTTTGTTTTGTGTGCTAATTAAATTTTCCATTTTTAATGTATGCGAGATATGTAAATTATATATACATTATTGGAAAATATAAAATATCATATATACACACCTATAATATATACATATAAAATAAAAAAAAATATATACATAAATATATATATATATATATATATATATATTTTTCTTTTTTTATATTAATATTATATTTTATAACATTGCTTTTCCATAATGTATGTTATTTACATATCTCGCATACATTAAGGTAGCAAAATTTAATTATATTTAATTATATATATATATATATATATATATATATATATATATATATATATATGTATACATATGTATATTCGCGAAAGAATTTGTTCTGTCAGAAATATATCAGGTAAATTACGATTTTTTTCGCGTATAATTTCTGGCAATATAATCGCAGAAAAAATAATAAGAATAATTAAAAATAATTTAAAAAATAATTTTGTATGATTTAAAAAAATAATATAATTCGAAGAAAAAAGACCATATTATGAATAGTTATATTTTATATATTTCGAAAATTAGATAAGAGCCGCTAGTAATTAAAAATTCAAAATAAAATTGTAATCGACCAACAACTTGAAAAGGGCCAAAACCCATGGTCGAAATGTCGTGTTAATTTTTAAATAAATAAAACATTGCCAGTGTTGGTCGATTATAATCCTTTTTTTAAATTTTACTTCGTGAAAAAAAGAACGAAAGTAAAACAAAAAATCATTACTCTCATGCTCGAATTTATTTAAGAATTTTAAATGCTCAGAAAATTATCCTTTCTAATTCTTCAGGTGATGAGTGTGACGCAAGTAATCATCGCGTTGGGTGGAATCGTTTATCCAACATTAATTGAAAAGTCGATGATACTGTATGGTTTTCGCGGTAAGACTACAATGAAAAATTCTAGAAAATTGCAATTTACTAATTAATTTCTCACCATTTGCATTAGGTACCTCAGCGATTATCGGCGCAATAAGTCTCAATGGTATCGTCGGCATGGCATTGATGCATCCCGTGGAGTAGCACCTCAGGAACATTGATGTCGTTCGTGCTGAGAAGGCGCGTAAAAAGGAACAAAAGTGTCAAGAGCTGGCATTGTCCAGTCAACGTTATTTGACCATCGACGTCATTCCTACATCCTCGAAGACTTAAATGGAGCAGTCTTCAAAGTCTTAAGGAAGAAAGCGATATACAAGTGCCCAATTTGGCGACTAGCGTCGGTGCATTGGGTGATATACGTCAACAATATCTGGAAAAGCGAAACTCGAAGGACCAGACAAATAAAGAAATTCTGAAAGAGAGAGAGAATGAGAAGGAAAACGCCGAGGAAAAACAAGAGGAATCAAAGTGAGGATTAGTTTTACAATTTAAATTCAACATGTCTTAAAATTTTATAATAAATTAGTATATATGCCTAATAGATTTCATCTTTTCATATTGATATAATTATTTATTAAAACGTATATACAAAATGATTTATTTTGTTTAAGATACAAAAAATTTGTGAAGAAGCTTCTGGACATGTCGCTGGTAAAAGATTGGGCTTTCATGAATTTATGTATTGGCGTTTCTTTGGTGCTCACCGCCGACTATGCCTTCTCCTCTTTTCTGCCTTTAATCATGACCGATGTGGGATACACAAAACGCGAAAGTGCGTTTACTATTACGATTAGTGGAATTGCGGAGCTGGTGTCGAGAGTTTTTCTAGCAGCTTTCACAATGATAGTGGATGTAAAGGCAAAATATCTGTTCTTCGCGGCTATGATTTTGATGGAATTCGCAAGAATAGGTGAGCATCTTCTCACGCGATTAAAATAAATATATAATAAAATTAAATTAGCTTCCGCGAATAATAAATCGATTTTTACGCACTCTTCAGTTTCTAAGATTAAAAATTATATAAAAAATTTACAATTTCTAGGTTTTTTATTATGCGAACATACGCTTATGAGCGCGTTAATTATGACAGCGTTAATCGGTTTCGCTCGTTCGTGGCTGTTGGTTCCACAGAATATAGTCATTATCGAAGATGTTAGCATAGAACAGTTTGCCTCGGCTTACGGTATCTTTGGCATTATTAGTGGTTTAGTTACTATAGTCTGCGGTGCTATCGTAGGTAAGAAGAAAACGGGATAATATTGCCGATATCCATATACTTATAATATTATACGTGTATATATTGTCGCAGAATTTGTTAAGGATTGGACTGATAGCTACGATATGTATCAAATCTCTCTACTAGTATTACATGCATTTATTATATCTTGGGCTCTACAGTTTATCTTCGTGGATTTTAGAAAACATCGAAAGCAACGCGCACAGAAAGTCATTATAAAGTCTATATCCAGGAAAGAATAAAGGATATGTGACAGGTGTTATTACAAAGTTTTGATCCAACTCAACGAATGCGTGAGTGAGAAGAAAAAAGCAATTATCAATTAAATTACGTTATCGTGCTTGTTTCTTCTATAATACTGTTAGTTTTATTATTTAGCCCTGTTAATTTTCATCTTTAATATACATCAGTGTAAATTTTTTCATATATAAAAGAAAAATTAGTATTTTAATAATATTTAATTTTTTTGTATATTAAAATATTATATATTTTTAAATATAAATTAGATCTAAATTTTTTGTGTTTATAACACTTACTTGTACATATAATAAATAAATTATAATTATGTAATTTCAAAATAAATATTACAATTGTGTAATATATTCAACAAACTAGTGCATAAATGTCACAGATTCTTTATAAATTCTGTTTCTTTATTATCGCAAATATATTTTTTATCAAATATTAATTTATATAAAAAAATGTCTGCATTATATAAATATCTTTTCTTTCTTATGAAAAGATTATATCATATAAAAAAAAAAGTATTGGTAAAAAAAGGATCAAACAAAAACTTTTATATAGTACTTTACTTGTAAAATTGTATTAAACAGTTCCATTAATCTTATTGTAATTAGTTGGTATATTAACAAAAATATACATATCATATGTGGATTGTATGTAACATGTTTGTATTGAAAAAATAACGCGCAAAAGTAAAATGTTTTACGTCATTTATTTATAGATATATATACACACGTACTATTTTAAAATTGTCATAACAAGGTATGAAATAATGTATTTGATTTACGCAGATAAGGGAATGTTAAATGCCGATTCTGGATTACGAGATACAGGCTTGCGTGGCTCAACCTTGATTTTGAATACATCGTGCCTTTTCAGAATAATGTCGCCTCGTAATATAAAATCTTTATCTGCCACATCAGAAATGATATGGTAATTCCTTAGTATCGTCGATAATAGGACTTTCAATTTCAGCATAGAGTATTTTCGCCCCACACAGGACCTATATAAAATATTTTATTGTCAAATGTAAGAATGCGTCCTGCTGATTTTATGATAAAATATATTTTTCTTCCGACTGCTGCCAACCGTAGGTTGGCGAAAAGAGAGGGAGTATGCGTTTCATCGAGCCCGGATCGGTCGTGACCTTAATTCTCATATATATGAGATATA